CGACCCACAGGTTGAGAACCGCTGATCTAGATGATCTTGGGCAATCCTGAAAGCTAAACAGAATTGGTCTCGGTTAACACTTGGATGATAGGTCATTTGGAAGTCGAGGGCTGCAAGCTGCAGTGGTGAGAAAAAAACCTCTCAGGAAGATAAGCTACAGCAAAGCACTTCTGCATTAGTATCAAGGAAACAAATGATGTGAATGAGTCCAGTCACTAAGAGATGAGCTTTGCTGAAAGGCAATTTTATGTTTAAGCCAAATAGAAGTTGAAGATGCAGTGGTTGCTAGAAAGAAGTTGTCCATTTATTTATTTATTTTTATAATTTCCCCATTGTTCATTTTATTTTTAAATGATAAGAAGCCATGCTGAAAGTGACGTCCATGTGAAATGTTAGTCCTTGCCCTCTTTATAGATCCAGGATCCAAGTGGATCATAAAAGAAGATGATGGAGTAAAAGATGTAAGTAAAAGATGGGCACTTGCAAGTCAGTGGCTTCATTGTGAAACATTTTTGTTAAAACAAGAAAGAAAAATAGGAAATGCTATTGTTATTGTGAACTAGAAATCACAGTGGGTGAATTGAGGAAGACGTAGAATTAACCCAAAAGAAAATAGGTGAGATGATGGTCAAGTTAGGAGGGATACTGGTCAAAAATACATCTCTACCTATGGATTAGGTGTTGCCATGCCTAATCCTAATATATAGGGTAACAGCTTGATTAAAGAAAGGGCACACAGGGTCTTCAAGTATCAGTTTTTGGGTCCCACTGAAGGATTACTTCACAGGACAAAAGTACTAACAGCAAAAGTGTTGCTCTTTTCACTGCTTCTCTTGCCATTCAAACTTAGAGAAGCAGCCAGTGGGAAGAGAAGAGGGGAAGTGAGGCTTTCTAGGAGCAGTTCCCTGGCACCAAGATCTGCTTCCCCTGCTTTCACTGTCCTTGAATCACCATTCCTATCAGTTAGAGCAGTGGTTCTCAACGTTTGTGTGATGGCGACCCCCGTCACACAAACGTTCTGCGCATGCGCGCCGTCCCCATGCGTGGCGCGCATGCGCGGCACCGCCCCCTGAGGGGAGAAAATGGCGGATCGCCTTCTTTGGCGACCCCTGAAAAATGGTCGATCGACCCCAAATGGGGTCGCGACCCATAGGTTGAGAACCGCTGAGTTAGAGCATGTATGGCAAGAGATGAGAGTAGAAATGAGCAAGGACAGCTCTTTTGGTGGCTGTTTGTCCAATCCTGTAAAGTGAACCGACAATGGAAGATCTGCTTCTCCTGCCCTCCACCTCGAGACATGGGTCTGAAGCAAAACAGCAGAGGGCAATGCAAGCAACAGAGTTTTCAAAATGTTGTTTTCTAGAAGAAAAAACACTTCAGTTGCTGTCATACCAAATAGTCTATAATCAGTAAGTAACTCTGTCCCTAAATTCAACCTCCAGCGAATATGCTCCACAACTCCACCCTAATTCTGATCCCAATCTTGCTGAAACTTGTACTGTTAGCATTCTGCATGCTCACCAGATAAATATGAAAGAAAACCTGAACTGCCCAAGTACACAATGTGAATTTCAGGGAGAAGGCCATGGAAAGAACAGTAAGGCTATTGTGAATGTTAAGGTTGTAAGGCTGAATGTACTTGAAGCTACATTCTTATCATACTTCATCAGTCTGCTGTATTCTTGAAAAAAAACTACAACCATCAGAGACTTATATTTACAGATATCTGAAGAGATGATTTCATTCTCCAATTATATTATGCCATAACTCTCCCCACCCAGAAAACCTGGCAAAAGGTTCTATGAACTATGTATTACTTAGAAAAAAAAATCATGTAACAATATCTCTCTTCCCTGTTTTCAGTTTAACTTCAAATGTTTGCATTCAAATATCATCTTAAGCCATAATATAGTTTATTTGGCTTTGGCTTAGTTTATATGAATAAAAAGACTGTGGTTTACAAACCTTGCAAAATGAATGAATCTGACTATTATGAATTAGTCAATAGCCATTGTTAAAATAAACACTGCTAGTGCTATGTGTGAATCCAGCATGGGTGTGTTGTGCCCCACTTCTGCAACTCATAATGAATTCTGCAGGGGTCAAGACAGCTCTTAATTTTGCTCTATTATACAACAAGAAAGATGCAATCATTTTCATATGGTTTCAATAAAAAAGTAAGCTTTATCTAGACATTTTATTTTGAAAATTTAAAGTATAGTTTCTCTTAAATTAACCATAAAAAGATACTAATTTAGAAAATGGATAATTAATTATTATAAAATAAATATATGAATACTTTTAATTTTTAGTCCTTTTAAACATAAATTTAAAGAATATAACTGAAGTTGTAAGATATCTCTTTATATAACATTAATGCAGCAGAAATGTTGAGCAGCATGGTGGCCTAGTGGTGAAGATGAACTACTCTCGTTCAGAAGGTTGAGAGTTCAATCCTAGGTAGTGGCAGATGTTTCTCTCCTAGGGCGTAAAGACAAAACTTATCTGCTGTGAACTCCATGTGGCATCAGGAAGGGTATCTAGCCAATAAATGCTCAGCTCCATCCAGTTGCTCTGGCTCTACCCCAAATTAAGTGATTACAGGCTCATAAAAAGGGAATTTTTAATGCAGCTGAAATGTATCAACATTAATCATCATTAAAATTATATTTTGTAAATGCTACATATTCAGTTATGAATATTATTATCTATGTTATCTACTCAACAACATTGGATGTATTTTGAATTTGGTTCAGTTTCCCACTACAAAAAATGGAAGTGCTTTGCCTCAAATGAAATATTGTTTATTTAGTCATTTAAATTTGTTGTAGTCATCCACCTCAGCAGACCATGAATGGGTTACAAAATCCCAAAACAATCAAAACAGTTAAACTCTGAACTGTATTCTAGGGATAGTAGTGAAGATAAACATGACAATAATGATGTTTATTGAGGAATGTAGAGACACAGTTCAACATTGGAGTTCCTGTTTGATCATATGATCTTGGGCAAATCATTGGCTAAATTCCTTTCCCCTAAGGCATGATTTTCTTAACTTTTGCTTTTTGAATAAACCATAAAGAGTTAATTTAACATTACATAATAAGCTGTAAAACATAACTTACAAGTCGTAAGGGATGGCAATAACTGCTAAGCCAAAATCAAACTAACCATAGATTAATCTGGTGGTTTGAACCCATTTTTCAACCTCATTAATCTTGTGGTTGTTGAATGCATTTATTCACTGATGTATTTATAATGAATATGTCATCTTTCAGGACACTTTTTATTAAAGTGATATGCAAAAGCTGATTAAAGCAGAAAATGTTGGTGAGAGATTGGCTGAGCCAAGGGGAGAAGTTAAATGGGGAATTAGTCTGGAATCTTTACATTGGCACAAGAGTGCACACCCTTGAATGCTATTTAACCTTATATAGTCTGGACAAAAGCCAGTATGAGAAGATTCCTGTATTAGAAGTTTGAGCAATAAAATAGCTAACTGAACAATCAGGTGTGGATCTGATTGTTCGTAACTGACAAAAGAGATGCAACAACAACAAAGGCCTGTTGGCATGGGATCACTAAGCCCAAAAGTTTTGTTAATGAAAATTGATAGTACCATCTCATCATTGGCCATGTGAATGCCCATCTTCATCTGCTGCAGCAGTTGTGCCCCTATCTGTTAGCACTAAGACCTTGCAACAGTAATATCATCCTCTTTACATATAGGTTATTGCTCTGGCCTTTGAAGACCATTTGGAAACTACAACTGCTGCAAAGTTACAGGGCCAGGATTAATGTCTAAAAGCTTATCATGTTGGTCCTCAAGGCTCTGCATGTATTACCAATAGGCTTCTGAATACAAATCAAAATGTTGGGTTTCGACCTATGAAGTCCTTTGGTAGGATTAAGGGCTTGCACTAAAGAATTTTCAGGACTACTTTCTCTGGCAAGACTCAGCTCATCCTGTTCATCACAGAAAAAGCTGCTGATACTCTCATATTTTCATGAGTCATTGGAAGGAGGAAGGGAGGAAGCTGAAAGCTGAAAGCTATAGGACAATGGCAATGGAAGCATTAATACTATGAAACTATGAAATAATAGAAAATACTCAAGTTTTAGATCTTGGCTATGATTTGTTCACCAAGCTTGTTTTAATATAATTTCTGAGTGTGAACTATGAAACTATCTTCTCTTGGATATTAGAGTAACCTTCTTTGTGATATTCTTTGCGTACAATAGTGTTGATTAGATGATACAACTTCAATAATAAGAACAAAGGAGAGGGAGAAAAAAATGTGTGGGGAGGAGAAATATGCAAATAAGCCAATTAATTGATGATAGAAAGTGGGAGAAATGCAGACAAATCTATATAACTCAGAAGCAGAGCAGATTCAGGCTCAGACTAAAGGTAGGACCAGAAAATGCTTTCCTGCAGCTACTAATTCGTCTTTATTGGTTAATGGTCTAGCTTGCTATAAGGTAGCATCCTGCATAATAAATGAGAAGGGATCTAATCATACAGAAGGTGTGAAGAAGCTGGATAACAAACCAGCACCCCGCCCCATGCATTCCTGCATTTATGTCTATACAATTTTTTTGTTTTTTGGATCTCAACTTCAGTGTATTATATTCACAGCGGCCCACATTATATTGGTCCCACTTTAAAAAGGTTTTTCCCCCCTTTTCTCTCTCTTAAATACCATGATCTGGATAGCATTCAGGTTCTGAAGACACAAAAAGACTGCAAAATTCTCTTAGGGAGATTTCACTGTTCACTTTTTTTTTCACTTGAATCAGTGCTTTTCCAGGAACCTTTTGCAATTGTTTGCTCATTTGATAGGCCCAAACCGAATTACATCACTTCCTAAAAGTAACTGAACGTAGTACATCTTCCTAAGGCATCTTACACATCCACCACAGAAGCAGTAAGCAGGAAATGTACAAAAGAATGAAAGCAGTATCACATCTGCTTTAGAGAAGTAACATGAAGAAGTACAACTTTTTATTGTCCTTTTTGTTGCTGAGTGGAGTGTCTGACTTCCATGGTAAGTAGGAACATGCCTTCTGCATTGTTAAGAATAACCACACAGACAATGTTATGCTCTGGGCTATAGAACTGTTTTTGATGTGTCACACCTAGAAAATCTGGTCCCTGCAAAGACTATACAAGCCTGCACCATTTCTTTCTGTGTAGTTTCTCAACTGCATGCTGACTTGTCTTTCCATGGATCCAGTTTGAACTACAAATCTAAGGTGTGTTAATCTGTGAATGAATGTTGTGTTTCTGACCCATTGTTAACTGTGCTTAAGATATTAATTCACTTGGATTTTTAAAAAATAAATAATGCCTCTATTCCTATTATTATAATGCACTCTTAATAAATCCAAGTAATTTCTTTTTCTAAGCTGATTTCACGGAAATGTTACAATATCATTAATTCAGAGGCAAATGAAACAAAACTATAATGATCTACTATGACAGGTAGAACCTATATCATTTTAAGGAAGGATTAAGTTCCTAAAATAATATATAAGAGGAAGCCTTGCTGTTTAAGATAGTATAATTTAAAAGATGTGTATTTAACTTTCAGAGAGACTTTCTGTCAAAGAACAACAAAAATGTGTTGGGTGTTTTTGTTCCAGATAAAAATCATTAGAAAAATAATTTTCATTTCATATATGTAGAATTATATATATAACCAAGTTTTTTCTAATTTGTTTCCAAAGCAACAGACTGTAAACACCATTATCTGTGACCAGACTGATGTTTATAATCTAAAATGTACAGATCATAACGGTTGGGAAGGCTGAACCAAATATTTTTATATTAAAATATTAATTATTTGCTTTTTCTTTTAATTTTAAAACATTGTCTAAATATGCTATACCTACATTAAGGAAATGCTTAAATTAGATGAGACATTTGGTTTCCTAATATTTAAAGATTTACCTCTCAAATGTTACAAAGGAAAACAAATCTCTAAAAAAGTTAACTGCAAAGGATAAAATAACCAGTCTGCTTCATGTCTTTCACTTCTGTAGATGTCATCATGCTTACCTGCTGAGTTACTTTCTGCATGTCCTAGCTTGCTATTTAGAATAAAAGCAGTATTGGATCTTGTAGCCCTAATGTTAGGTAGACAACTATTTTGTAATTAGGTCTTTACTTGCACTGTACAAATCAAAACAGTAGTTTTTGAAGGCTGCAGGAACAGAACTTCTGATGGGATGATATCACAGCAATTGGTGGGGCTAAACTTTCTGACCCCTTTTTTTTGTGAAATAGCCTAAATCAGATTTAAAGGCTTATCATGGAATTCTTACACATTTATTTTATTTCTTAATTTAGCAGGAAGATACAGAGGAATGGAGAGAGGCAGGATGTTCACATTCATCCATTGGCCACCCACAACTAATTAAAATTAAGAATATAATATTCGGTTCATAAATACTTATTTGATATTGTTTATTTGTCACCCTTTAATTGTCATTCACAGTAGCTTTTATCATATTATAAGATACTATAAGCTTGTAAACTTTTTAAACTGTTAAAAGAAACTCTTTAAAAAGAGTTTCAAAAGAATAACAAAGAATGCAGTTCTTGCTCAGGCAAGTTCTAAAATAGATAAAGATTATTTGCCATACAAATCAAGATAGTTTATGCAAACATGGACATAATGTATATGCCTTTCTATGAGAACTGAAGAATACGTCACGTCAAACTAGACAAGTGTGAAAAGCCCTAATAAGAAGAGTCCTAAAATTTCAAATTATCTAGGTTTAATAGTCTCTATGTATGCAAAGAGTATTATCTGCATCTGGGAGCTTTTGCCTAGACACACATGCTTCCATGAAGATTGGAACTGTCCACTGTCAGGATTTTAGCTCACATAGAAGTAACTGCTGACAGGACTTGCATAGCCAATATAAATGCTGTAAGCATGAATCTTTTTTTCTTTTCACTTACATCACTCTCTCAACTATTTATTTTTCTAAGAACAATATAATGATAGCCTTTTAAGGGCAGAAGATGTTGATTCACCTAGAATGTTTATACCCAACTTGAGAGAAGGATTTTACTTACCTAGACTACAAGATGATGCTGTAGTGCACGGTATCAAACTCAATCACATCACATGACATATTATGATGTATCCTGACATTTTTCCTTTGCGGAGCTGGGGGCGTGGCTTGTGTGTGATGCATCCGGCCCACAGGCTGCCAGTTTGACACCCATGTGTAATGTATCCATTTCTGGCTTGTAATCACTGCAGCTGGGAAATCATAGACTGAGATGCTTTGCCATATAAATAATTAATTTCAGATAGAAAGCTTTAATATATGGGGGAAATTTAGCTCACTTTATCACCACTATCCCAAGGCCAAGATATATACGAGTACATTTTTAATTCCAAAAATACAAAGATTGCAAAACAGGATCACACTTACTTGTGCATCCACTTGCACACAACTTTTTTCATATTTACATAATATCATTAACATGTGCTTCATTGGTCTCCCTCCCTCTGTCTCCCAGGGCTCATTGCAGAGCATGTTTGCTCACTCCTATCATGTATTTTCTGCTGTTCAGAATGCATGTGCTTGTTTCCGTCAGGCGGATGATCATTAATGGCAGAAGGGAATCATTTGGATACAGAGAAAAATGTGTACATTTGATTTAGATGGCACCAGAAAAAGAATTCTTCCTGTCCAACATGAATAGGATTTAATTGAAATGAAGAAGCTTATCAGTAACTGGACTTTAATAAAGGTTTGGTCAACATTTTTCTTGGGAAACCTCCCCTCTCATCATTGCCAAGACTTGCCGGCTGTGCCCACCATTAGTAACTCTGTAATCATTGCCCTATGATAGTCTGGTGCTCTTTTTTCTTTTTGCCCCTTGTCATCACCATGCCTACTACCACAGCTGAGATCTTTTTGAATGGTTGGATTGATCAATCTGCAAGTCAGTATCCTTAAATGAGACTGAGATAAAGAGGGATATGAACATGTTAGTTGAATATGTTCTTCCTTCTACACAGCCTCTATGTGGTGCATCAAGCAGCTCTTACTGCAGATGGTCTACTCATAATCTAAACAAGGAACAGGCAACCTGATGCTATAAACGTATTTCAGAGTTTGACCTCTATCTTCTTCAGCTAGGATGGCCAATGGCAAGAGATTGTGGGAATTCTCCAAAATATCTGCCCAACATTCAATTTATACATTTTCTTCAGAATGCATCACCTTTAAAGATATACTTTTGCTTTCAGACAGGTTTGCAAAATAATTTATGAATTGACTGTATAGAGTTTTCTCAGAAGAAACATACAATAGTCATATAGCTGGATTTTATTGATCACTTTTGGGATGAATTCTAAAAAAATGGTTAATATAATTGTAATGGTTTTATTTCACTCTTAGTGAATTCATTTGATATGCTGATTTCTGTGTCAAATAAAGATTGACAAAGTTATCCTAGTTATGTAGTCAGAAGATCTTTAACCATAATATTGGTATGTTGCAGCAATCAACTGTTGCATACTTTTATCTTTCTTCCCCATCACTCCCTAAGCATCTGGTATAGATGGGGGAGTGATAGAGCTCAGACTGAAGTTATTTTGGGAGCAATTAATTTGCAAAGCGTCTGAAGTATGTGTTGCTGTTGAAGGCAAGAACAAATATTTACTTCTCACCAACGATAACATCAAGCTTTCAGAATGTATTTTGAATTCAATACTTGGAGAGAATGGATTTATTATCATGACGGTTTACTGATTAATAAATCAGTGTATCTTTTTAAAAAGGCTTTTTCTTCATTGATTTCTCTTTTTCTAACAGATCCAGAATTTTGTTAGCAGTAAACTTTTTGCTATGAATTCGAAAATCTTTTTTTTCCTGAATAATTGCAGTTATTTCAGAAACCATCTGTATTTGTATGTGTACATATAGAGATACATACATACACACCTGTGTATATATAAGTTTCATTTGTTTATTCTTACAAAAATCAGTGGGAACAATACAATACTATTACACATAAAACCAAATGAGCAAGGATTTGCTCAGTTCAGTTATTTAAAACAATCTATTTGGTATTTGAAAATTTATGTTTCTAATGTCCTAGAAAGAAAAGGAGTTGGTTGTAGAAATAAATTGGATATCCATAAAGGCTTGGTTGGCATATCACCTAAACATTATTTGTTTTTATTACTCATACTCACTCCTGCATGGTCTCACAGAAGGTTCGAGAGAGAGAAGAGGGGTATTATTTTATCATTGTAGAATGTGGAAAACATAAGAAATAGTGGGAGCTCTTCCATTGCTTAAAACAAGGGTCCCCACCCCCTGGTCTGTGAACCAGTGCCAGGCCTCAGCATGCCAGCAACCAGGCTGCACAAACAAGGAAAGCCCCATCCGCGGGATGCAGGCTGCACACAAAACCATGCCCCCTCTGATCTGTGGAAAAACCTCTCTCCACGTAATCAGTCCCTGGTGCCCAAAAGGTTGGGGACATCTGGCTTAAAATACTCTGGCATACTCTTATAATACTCTTGCTTGAAAGAGGAATGGAAGCAAACCAATGTGGCAAGTATTTCTTGAAAGATGTATAAATACCTAAATGGAATGCAAACACATATTTGGATGGAAAATATGAAGATCACAGAGATGTATCACTTGAATGAAAAAGCAAATGCAATTATACTCAAATGCTAAATTAAACTTCAAAAACAAACATGAAAAAAATGCTGTTATGTGTTCATGTGCTTTACTGAAAAATTTCTAGTAATTTTCCTGCTAGTTTTTTAATTCAACTTTTTGTCACTACGCACTGAGATTTGTACAGTTTATGTTTAATATTATTTTCCTGAATGCTTTGTAGTTATTTGCAAAAAGAACATTCAACTGGACAATCATATATCAAGATTATTACTTTAAAGTTTACCCTTTGACCCTTGACCAAACGTGTGATGAGTATCAATCCAAAGAGGAAGTATGAGTCATTATATAATTCGGGGAAGATAGTTGCAAGAGAAACCCCAAATTATAATTTAATTATCATAGCAGTTCTCAAACAATTATATTATACTCACCTTATATTGTAAGAATGTTAAGAAATCAAAAGATAAATATTCACAAAAGCTTAATTGGTTATGTTTTTCCTTTTTTGTAGAGTCCATAACTACAATGGCAGATCATGAAAATTCTGGTGATGGCTTACCATCTATTGTGACAACTACAGTAGGATCTATTAGTTCTGTTTTATTTTCAATTTCTGCTAATAAATCGGAAGAGCAAAATGTCACAACACCAACTGAAACTGAGGTTACTGTAATAGAAAGTACTTCTACCACAGAACCGAATGGGGATGTGTCTATTTTATATAATTCTGTGATAATTGGAGTTCCTATAGTGCTGGTCCTAATCCTCTTGATTATCCTGGTCATCTTTATTGTAAGACGTCACAAACAGAAACAAAGCCAAGAAGGTAAATATTTTATTTCCCTTGGGTAAAAGGGAAATAAGGGTCACATGGGAGAAAATAGCATTCATGCTGTAAAGGTAATGCTCCAATTAGATTTTATATCTTATAAAGCTTTCTAAGCTTAGTGATTGTGTAAAAAACTTTGTTCCAAGTATAAACAGATCCATCCATCCATTATCTGCCTGCCTGCCTGCCTGCCTATCTATCTATCTATCTATCTATCTATCTATCTATCTATCTATCTATCTATCTATCTACTTCACCTTCTAATTCATTTACATCTAATACATTTTAGTTTACATTTAATACACTTTAGTGCATCTAACATTTGCATACCCAGGGGTATGCAAGTATGGCAGGGCTGCAGTCCCCCAATTTCCAACCAATATGCTTTGGTGGGGAGTAGCAATCCCAACTTCTCTAAGAAGCACAGCATAAGGCAATTCCTTTAGCAGACAAATACGTAGGTGGGCTGAGTCAAGTAGAATCTTGTTTCTTAGCTACTCATTGTGGAGTGCCTTGAGGTCCCAAAGAGCAGAATGTAGGGACATATCAGTGTGATTGTTGAAACACAAATAACTCATATTGGACTCAACTTGAAAAAAGAAAAATGATGGAAAACTGATCATACCTGTCCATTCCTTGCAGTGCACTCTCAGAAGTGACAAAAGACCAAGTGACAAAATTAGTGGACCAGAGGAATACTGTGGATATAATTTACTTGGATTTCAGTAAGGCATTTGACAAAGTAGACCACAACCTACTACTTGAGAAGATAGAAAAATACGGGTTAGACAGCATCACCACCAGATGGATCCGTAGCTGGCTGACCGGCCGTACTCAGCGTGTGGTCCTCAATGGAACCGCATCTACATGGGCGGAAGTGTGTAGTGGGGTGCCCCAGGGCTCTGTTCTGGGCCCAGTGTTCTTCAACATCTTCATCAACGATCTGGACGAGGGGATAGATGGGGAACTCATCAAATTTGCAGATGATACCAAGCTGGCAGGAATAGCCAACACTCCAGAAGACAGACTTATGATACAGGAGGATCTGGACAGACTTGAACACTGGGTGTTATCTAACAAAATGAAATTCAATGGTGAAAAAAATAAGGTTCTACATTTAGGGAAGAAAAACAAAATGTACAGGTATAGTATAGGTGGTACCTTGCTCAATAGTAGTAACTATGAGAGGGATCTCAGAGTCCTAGTGGACAATCATTTAAATATGAGCCAGCAGTGTGCTGCAGCTGCCAAAAAAGCCAACACAGTGCTAGGCTGCATTAACAGAGGAATAGAATCAAGATCATATGAAGTATTCATACCACTTTACAATGCCTTGGTAAGGCCACACTTGGAATACTGCATCCAGTTTTGGTCACCATGATGCAAAAAAGATGTTGAGACTCTAGAAAGAGTACAGAGAAGAGCAACAAAGATGATTAGGGGACTGGAGGCTAAAACATATAAGGAACGGTTGCTGGATTTGGGTATGTCTAGTTTAACAAAGAGAAGGACGAGAGGGGACATGATAGCAGTGTTCCAATATCTCAGGGGCTGCCACAAAGAAGAGGGAGTCAAGCTATTTTCCAAAGCGCCTGAAGGCAGGACAAGAAGCAACGGGTGGAAACTAACCAAAGAGAGAAGCAACCTAGAACTAAGGAGAAACTTCCTGACAGTTAGAACAATTAATCAGTGGAACAACCTGCCTTCAGAAGCGGTCAATGTGCCAACACTGGAAGTTTTTAAGAAGAAACTGGACAGCCATTTGTCCAAAATGGTATAGGGTTTCCTGCCTGAGTAGGGGGTTGGACTAGATGACCTCCAAGGTACCTTCCAACTTTATCATCATCATCATCATCATCATCATCATCATATCTATGTGATCATTGCCTTGGCACTAAGAAGTCCAAGAAAACAGGCCAAGGGCTATTATATGCAGGATATATTGTTCTGTTGAAGCAGGACATTTTTTCTTAATGGGGCTTCAAAAGAGGTGACCAAAGATGTTAAACAACTGGGAAATATAAATTATGCCAGTATAGGCCCTATCATTTCACTTTGAAAGGGAAAAAAGATTTTAACTATTATTTTTCTAAGAGCAAGGGAAAGTATTCTGCTTTGGGCCTTATTCCGTCTGCATTTGTTTTTATCAATGTTGCAGACAAGTCATTGTAGGGATATTTCTTCTGCTGTATAAATGTGCTGTTTCTTCACTAGTAACAGTGGTGGATAGTTTGCATGCGCTATTTCCCAATCTGTGCTCTTCTAATGTATTGGATTTAGTTCCAATGATTCCCAGCCAGCTGGCTTAAGCACATCTCTCTTTTTTTTCCTCAGATGAGCTAGGAAGTGAAAATGGTAAAAGGTAAGAGATTTATAGGTCTGCTTCTTGTCATTTGTCATTTATATTTTGCATGAACTCTACCAGAGGCCTGGGAGTTTAAGGGTTCTGAGCAGGATCTTAGCTGTTCTTAGCACCATGCTCTTTTGGACAAAGAGCTCTGGTAGACAAAACAAGACTATATATATTATATATAGTATATATAATATATATATATATATATATATATGTAGGTCTTTGGTTATTTGGGTTTTCTCCCGCGTCAAATTGGAAGTGTCTTGGCGACGTTTCGACGAAGTCTCATTCATCATCTTCAAGCTGGTGTTTTCGGCTTCGTGCTGGTGTTTTTGGCACGAAGCCGAAAACACCAGCCTGAAGATGACGAATGAGACTTCATCGAAACATCGCCAAGACACTTCCAATTTGATGCAGGAGAAAACCTGAATAACCAAAGACCTACATACAAACACCCGCAAAAACCTCAGAAAACATATATATATATGAGCCATCAAAAGCTTGGTCATATTTATTAAAATTTTATTTATTAAAACCTTGTTGTTTTACTTCCTGGTGATCGTCTTTTTATTCATCAAAATGTATGTACCCAGGAATCATTATTCTTCGATTTTTAGCATTATTTATATATATAAACTCTTACTCTAAAGCAGTGGTGGGGAATTATAGCCCTTTTATGACTTGTGGACCTTAACTCCAGAATTCTTGAGCCAACCATGCTGGCTCAGGAATTCTAGGAGTTGAAGTCCACAAGTCATAAAGGGGCCATAGTTCCCCAACTCTGCTCTAAAGTTACATCATGGGTCTTTTTTTTTCTATAACCTGTCCTATTTAATCATCAGAACCATAGATCATAAGTTCATCTTTTTACTGTTTCATGCAAACAAAAAAAAAATCCTTAAAGGTTTTCAGTCTATAATAAATGTAGACACAAGTAGTCTATTTGAAGATACGATGAACTTCCCTAGAGCTATTCACAATCCATTATGGAATTCTTATGGTGTACACACACACGTACCTGCACTCTACAGTGATGGGGTTACATTTTCGGTGTTTGGCAACCAGTTCATATTGATGGCAGTTGCAGCATTCTGCAATCATATGACTGATTTTCTGTATATTTTGCTAGGTTCTGGTGTTTATTTCTGGTTTCCAGTAAAAAAATATTCATAGAAGTGATAGCCAAATCTGGCCCAAGGCTTGTGCCTTGGCACACATAGTTTCAATAAAGCAGATTGAGGCAGGAAGATCATTTTATTATGATTTATTCAGAACATTCTGATCAAAAGGATTCCTCTTATTCAAAGAGGGGACCTCAAAATTCATCTTACATTCCCTTTTACAATTAAGACATCAAAGGAAATTACAAAAGAAAAGTTGATTGGATAGGACAAAAGTATCCTCCCCTTTGCATAGGAAATCATTTACATGAAGCTAAACATATTACATATTTGCATCCATAATACCACATTTAAATGAGTTCTGGTGAACAAGGGGGCTTAAAATTTAAGATATTAATGAAGGAAAATGCGGTAAGGTTGCTTAGAGTTTGATAAGCTATTAACCTCAAATTAAAAGAGGAGAATAAAATCAAATTAAAATATAAGAAAAACCTATGCTATTTATCAAACACAACAATACTACAAAGTCTATGTTGTGTGGCCCGTAGAAGAAAATAGGTTTGTTTAACAACTGCTACTTTTGTTTAACAGCCGTTGCATGCACTTAATGATCATGGCATTAATTTAACAACCACTGCAAAAAAGTTTGTAAAATCAGTCATGGTAATGTGATGACCTGCTTAATGGCTGCCGTATAACCTTATTTCTGGGCTCATGGTCATAAGTCAAGGATTACCTGCATTGACTTTTCTCTAATTAAACAGGTCAATTTCACCAGCTCAGCAAGTTCTATCATCTTCACCAACTATTCCTCCATTGTAGGTATCATCTCTAAAAACAACATTCCATGATTTTTTCCAACTGTTTAACCATTAGTCTCAAGAGCAAAAGCCCTGTTTCAGGTGTTCAGCATTAATCTTAATAATTCTCTGAATCAGTGTATGCATTTGTACCCCAAATCTTTAACTTTTTTTGCATCTACACATCTAGGTATCTTACCATATCTACATTCTGCAGTTGCTAATTCAACTGCCACGTAATGTAATTATTTTTTTTTTCTAAACTAAAGCCACTAGTTGGTAGCTACTTAGCTATTCCTAAGCATGTGCCTCGATATAAACAATTTTATTAAAAAAAAAAAAACTAAAGAAGAGCAATTCTAAATTGCCAGCTCCAATATATTTTGTTGTTGTTTTCTTATTCAGTCCTATTTTTGAAGAAGACACGCCTTCTGTAATGGAAATTGAGATGGAAGAACTGGATAAATGGATGAACAGTTTAAAAAAAAATGGTATTTATCCTTATCTGACTCACAATTTTTTTCTTTCCTGGTATATCTGTCTCTGATATTGATAAATATTTTAAACAGTTGTAGATAATAACACATCATAAAATAAGAGCAGAAAGATATGCTCTATATTTTAAGAATTTTAATTTTTAAAGAAGAGCTAATACAAAAAGGTGTCCTTTACATAAAGAATATTTTATTCTGAACATATAAATGTTTGTAATATTTTAAAATGTTCAAGGTGTCTGTTGAAATTAGCAGGATTTTAAGGTGAAAGGGAGAGTGTTGGCATTAATTTATAATATACTTTACAAGTAATTCACAACTTCTAGTGCTTTTTCTTCATTTCTCTCTTTGGGATAATTCTACAAAATAGGCAATGATCACATTGGGCCATTTGTGTAGACCTTTTAGATTGACCATCTAACTGCCATTAACTGGAATGGAATATGTTTTTCCCCTTTATAAGCTGTGATTCTACTCCAGTCTGGAAGCTAAGACTGTATATCCAATTATATTTAAGATGTGTTTCTTGGCTTCTTTATTTTAATCACTATGCATACTTGTCTCTTTCACTGGATTAAATCAAGCTGCTTGGGAGGGGGAATGTGGGATCAAGCTGTGTGTCCAAGAAGGATTTTAACAATGTTTGGCTCTTAAAGATGACATAATAAATCAGAAAAAGAGAGAAATATATGTGGGCATCAAGAGGTTGAGTACTCTTTGTAGATGGGTTTTTGGGGTACCCCAGGAGGATGATTGGGGTGTAGGGTTTAGTGTTTAGTTTCGTTTTTACAGTTTTTACTGTGTTTGTGGTTTCATTGTTGTTGTGAGCTACCAGAGTTGTGCTGTAAGATGGGCAGCCATACAAATCTTTTAAATTTGTAAAAATTGTAAGCAAACAAACAAAACAGTGGTTTAAAGTCCCCTTTCTAGTCTGGCACCTTCCTGATAGGTTGGTTTATAACCCCCATCACTCCAGTTGGGTTGGCCTGGATAGCTATGGATTTTAATTCATTTGTTCAATTGTTGAAACCCTGCACATCAAGAATATAGTTTAGAATAAATGTAAAAAAGGCAGCCATGTGAGGAGGAAACTGCACATGTCAGATAAATTTATATGCAAATTGTGCATCAACATTTACACTCTAAAGTACAGTCCATATAAAACCTATGCATTGTTACTTTATAGTAGTTCAACAGACTACTACAACCACATGGAATCAGCCTAGCACACAAGCCAACTAATGCCCTTTAAAAGATCCTAAGCAAACCAAAAGATGCAGCAACCCCAGAAGAAAAAACAGGAGTCACCTACAATCCCTACAATGTAAGGACTGCAACATCAACTAGGTAGGACAAACAGGCAGAAGACTGGCAGAACATATCCATGAACACCAACTAGCAGTTAGAAGATATGATGAAAATTCTTTAATTTCACAACATATAGACAGATTTAACCATAATTTCAGTTGGGAAAATGTGACAATCCTAGACTAGACCGTATCCAAAAATTCCAGGGAATTTCTAGAATCCTGGCACTCTGACAAATTAACTATCTATAGATACATAGACATTAATAACATCTATAGACTATGCAAAAGAGACAATCAACCAGCCTAAAAAGGAACAAAAAGACCTAAGCACCTCTCCACCAGGAATCAGCACCCAGATCAGCATAAATGAATTCCAAGGTTAACTTCAGACCAACAATCAAGTAAACATATCCCAATTAAGCCAACAGTAAACAGCCCAACCAAAGAATCTCTTAAGACCAGGGCTTTTTTTCTCACAGAACGCCCAGAATGGAGTTCCGGTACCTTTTTTTGGATGGAACCTTGTAGGGTAGGCAAGGCAGGTTGTATGACATGTGTATGACATGTGTAAGTTCCAGCACCTTTTTTTTTTTTTTTAGAAAAAAAAGCACTGCTTAAGACCACTCCCACCAACACTGACAGGCAAGCCACCAGAATATAAACTGACAGCAAACAGCAGTCCTTATTAGCACTGATTGTTACCTAGTTTGGGTAATGAAACGTCTGCAAGAAAACAAGCAAGCTCAGAGAGCACCAAGGACCCCTTGTTACTTTGCACAAAAGTTATCTTCTACTCAATGGCCAGAGCTTGGTTGCTTCTGCTCTTCCCTTGTAGTAGGATTGAAGATATGCACTACCTGCAGATAATTGAATGTATTATTATTCCTTTCCACAATAGGAATTTGTGCATCTATTTGCATAAGAGAAAGCAATGGAGGCAGGCTATTAGAGGATTATTAAAATGTGTATTATTGTTATCAATATGACACATTTGTAGCAAATACCCATGCAGACAGTGAGCAGTAGATACAGTAAAAGTTTTATGGGTGCAACTTGCTCCAACTAAGAGTGGAAATGTTTAGGCTTTATAAATCTCTTTCTCTAGTCTAAAATAGATCAATTCCATGCCCTGATTAAAAAACATATATTGTTAAAGGTGCCAGCCCATCAATTCACAGTGAACATTCTTTTTTTATTGTACAGTCATATGTCCAGCCATGTTTGTCCAATACTGAAATGACTTTAAGCTAAATTAGGCTTGAGGAAGGCGTAATCACAGGTCTTGATTAAGCTGTATGAAAACTAAGCCTCAGTTTGCAGAAACGGCCTAATTCCTCATTTGTTTATACAGCATTCATAAACCTGCCCATCTCATTTTCTAACTTCGAGCTTCAGGCCAGAATAGGAATAATTATTTTAATAAAGTGACACACTTCCTTACCTTCCTGTTTCATAAAGCTTTATAGACCATAGATCAACTTGAAGACTAAATTACTAAGAATTTCTGTAAATTCTTAGAATGGGGTTGTAGCCATTTGATTTGCACAGCCATTTTGCAACTAAGGACATACTTAATTTGAATGTCACACCAGGACATAACTAAACTGGACTGAATTTAAATTCAATTAATCATATAAAGCTTAATTTACTATTCCCCATATATTTAATCATTTTCCCCTTTGCATTATTTCAATTTTTAATTTGACAGTAATTTGCAAAGGAGTTCTAAGACTATATACAAGACTTGTATGCTACAGAGCCACAGTAATAAATCTACTCCATTTTCTGATACTGCATATACTTTTAATGGTATTTTTCTTCTCTCCAAAACTTTCATGTCTCTTCAAAGAAATAGTGTTCAACAGCAAAGTCCCATGAAACCCAATTCCATTGGGTCCATCCTAAACAGGTCTTATATAAGCAAATTGGTAGATACTTCTGCTAGATAAATCATTTTGGAAAACTACAAAATACTTGCACATATGACATAGGACATAAAAGGAGGGTATATAGTTTTATACCAAAATAACAAAAGGATCAGATTTTATAAAGGCGGAGAGCTTTCACTAGGGTTAAACCTCCGTTCTATACGTGTACACTGCGTACAATGCAATGTCACTTATAACTGGTTTGCAACTTGCCAAACAATATGAATTACAGCAAGTCTGATCTTCTATTATGTAGAAAAGATGGGGTGCTAGGCATTATCTGTGATGCAACTTGCCAGTAAATTTATAAATAATTAAAACGAACAAACAAACAAATAAATAAAATTCATTGGCCACCCATCTTACCACAAGATAACTCTGTGGACTCTCAATCAATTTTGAGGATGGTTTTGCAGCATCGTACTTGATAGGTACTACAAAATCACAGCTTAAAATCAACAAGAGTCGATAAACTCCACATCAAGAATAAACCAACAGAATACAGACATGACAATTCACAATAGTACAATGGACAGTTTATTATTATCCATTTTATTTTTAGCTGGTTGGCAAAATATTGGAGAGTAGAGCTGTATATACTGTACAGAGAATGCATTGAGATAAATGAAACAAGGCTACTATAGCTTCTGAGACATTCAGAATGTTTCTTTTTAATATAAACATGTTTATATCATGTAGACATTGCTATTCCAACTGAATTGCTGTCCCCCCAGTTCTCAAGGCTAATAGTTCATTGTCTTTTCACAGCAGAATGTGATTTGCCTCCTGTAAAAGAAGAGAAAGATTATAACACCAACCCAAGGTACTTATAATTCTCAATTTCTAAAAGTGACACTGTCAGTAGACCCATAACTGCAAAAATGTTATGTCTTCCTTTCCCCCCCTATTCCTTGATATCTCACTTGCTTCTAATAAACAAAATTATTATTTTCCTCGAAGCACAGACTATATTTGGTTCCTACAGAAAACAATAGGAATTTAATTTTTTTCTCGTGAGATTGAGCAGAAGCTTCCTTTTTTAAATGGTCTACCAGAAATGCCATAGAAATTCAGGTCAGAGCGCTACTTCTGCCTGTTACTGTACTTAGTTCTATAATTATTGAACTGCAGCAGAACAGTTTTCCACGGACAAACCCAACCCCATAGTGCTGGGGAAAATGACATTTTTCTTTTCTTCTGCTTCCTTTCTGTGCTCTTTAAACCTGAGAATTGGGGGAAGGGCTTCTAAATTAATTTTGTGGGAGGGAAGACGAGCAGAGGTTAACACATTAAATGTACTTGCACCTAATTGTGCAAACTATAGAGATAACTTCTAATGCAACTTATAATAATACTATAGATATTGTACAATATAAACACATAATTTAAAACATGCTCTTAATTATTTTCTCACTGTCACTGTCCAAGAATGAATGGGCGTTTACAAATTCAAGCCTTAAACTCTCAATGCTACAGCTCTTTTCAAGGTTATTAAAATACCACTGTATTTGAGAAGGCAAGTAAATCTAATTTTCCCATCTTAGTTACATTTCCAGTGGAGAGTCCAGTAGAATACATTGGATGAAGTTCCTTTACTATCTCTCGTTGATTTAAAAAGCCAAATAGATGGAGAGGAAAAGAGAAAGAGAAAGGAAGAATGGTTGATACCACTAGATGGCTCTATTTTATTATAAATGATGGTGGAAGTATAGGTTTGTATAACTTTGTTCTAATTCACAGAAATTGCATGTTTTGCTAAAGTAAAAAGATGTAGAAAAATAAGCTTCTCTAAGATAACTGCAGCATGAGAGCCCAAAAAAATTGAATAAAATAAAAAAATAAAATCTTTTGGAAGGACGATCTCTTACCATTTGCTCTAATGGAGAGGTCTACAATTTGGTGCATGTCAGAAATCCTGTACAACATGATAACTTGGAAAATGTTGGAAAAGTCCCAATTAACTATTATACCAGTTAACATACAGTGTGATCTCCTGTGACCTGTAAAAATATCATTTCAGTTTACTCTAAATCAATGTTTTAAACACAATTTCTAGCGTAAAACTAACAAAAGAGTTACGTAAGAGTTCAATCCAAAGCACCCAAGTTAATGCTTGTATTCTACAGATGGGACATGAAGGCTAAAATATGTACAAGTAATTAATTTATGTGCAGTCACTACAGATTTTAAAATATGGATAATTTTTTAAAAATGGTAAATATAATCTCCAGCATTATAGCTGAGAAAGATAAGAGTTCATTGTCCATTGTTTTAGGGTCAATTTGCTTTGTTTTGCTCTTTTAAGAGATAGGCAAATATTTTTTGTATAACGACTGAAAGTTAAAAGCTTTTGCCCCATCACTGAACCTCATCTCTCTTGATTTTCTATAGTCTGCTTGATTTTGTCTAGCTCCTGGCCATAAGATCCTGTGACACATTTTAGATATATAATTACAAATATATAGATCACTACAGATAATTGACCCAGGAATGGGTGGGTAAGGTGAAGTAGAAGGAGGTATTTGGTAAAAAAAAACAAGAAGTAAAATAAAGAAGGGAAGGGATCTGACACATGGAAATCTTTTTTCAGTACAAAATCCCACTGAAGATATGGCAATTCTATAACTAATGAAGTAGTGAAGGAAATATGATTAACTTTATATCACAATCATAGATTCCTGTTAGAGGGCTATGGGTTTCAGACTGGCCCATAATTAAAGTATTTTATGTATTTTTGTTGAGACAAAAAATGAAAAGAGTTTATGGGAAAACAGATAGGCAAGGGGATCTTTTGGCTCAATGTATATAAACACCTTAACAGAATAACAGAGTTGGAAGGTACCTTAGAGCAGGGCTTTTTAGCCTTTTCACCCATTGTACCACTTTTAGGATATGGCAACATCTGAGTACCACCAGTCGCCTAGCAAGGTGTCAAAAATTAGATGACCCCCCCCAAAAAAACAGGAAAAAAGTGATAAAGTACAGGTAGTACTTGACTTACAACAAATCGCTTAGTGACTGTTCGAAGTTACAATGGCACTGAAAAAGTACCCTCCAAGCCACAGCCGAGCAAGCCACCTGCCTGCCTGGCGGCGCTCTTCCTCCTGTCCGAGGTTTTCATTGTTGTGAGCATTTCGGTTGAGGATTGGTAGTGGGGGTGGGGTGGGGAATGTTTGGTTTTTATTCCCCCCGTCTGCTGGGTGGTTGCAGCAGGTTTTGGTCACTTCACATGACCCTGGGACACTGTGACGGTCATAAATATGAATCAGTTGCCAAGCATCTGAATGTAAATCACAAGACCCTGGAGATGCTGCAACATTCCAGCTGATCGGCACTTCTTCTGGGCTCAGCAGAAGCGCCAGGATCAGCGCCGAGCTCCAGCTGGAGCCTGGTGCTGATCTTGGCGCTTCCACTGAGCCCTGACAGCCCCGAAGAAGTGCTGATCCTGGCGCTTCCGCTGAGCCAACAGCCCTGCAGCTCCACCATCTCTCACTCAGGCTTATGCGGTGCTGCCACCGGTTCAGCTTATTCCCCTCCCCCGCTACCACTTTTCTAGGATGGTCACGTACCACCTGCCAGGTGCCAATGTACCACAGGTGGTACCCCTACCACTGGTTGAAAAGCCTTGTCTTAGAGGTATTCTAGTCCAACCCGCTCCCCAAGGGAGGAGATCTTATACCACTCCAGACAAATGGTTATCCAATCTCTTCTTAAAAACCTCCAGTGTTGGAGCACCCACAGCTTCTGGAGACAAATTGTTTTACTGATTAATTGTTCTAATTGTCAGGAAATTTCTCCTTAGTTCTAGGTTGGTTCTCTCCTTGATTAATTTATGTGCAAGCATAGAAGATTGTAAATCCTTTCTTGTTACATTTCACAACCATTCTACTAGTTGCAGCAAATCCAGAATTCTGTTATTCTGTATAATAGTAGATTCTGTGTAATTCAAACATTTATATACTGATATTTATATTCATGGCTTACTTTTAATAAATAACAAATAGCCTTAAAAATAATAAAATAAAAGACTCAGTTAAACAATGAAACTGTACTGGCCAAAATCTAGCTAGAAAGAAGAAATGAAGAGTGAGCATTCAAAAAAAAAAAAAAAAAAAAAAAACTTTGCTCAAATGTTGTGATGAAGTTTAATCTTTTAAAAATTTTATACAGTGACTGTGAATCTTAAGATAAAGAAGAAATTATGTGAAATAAAGGAAGAAAAGCAGAAGTAACGTTGCTGAGTTCTGAGATGCTGTGGATATGAAGTACCTTCATCTCACCTGGTCATGGATCCCAGTTAGTTCTTTTCATTTTTTCCTGATGGTTTTGTTTTATACATTGATAAAATTCTGAAAGATGGAAATCCTGCAATCAATTTTTAACACTGTGAATTTGAGGAAGCACGTGCAGAGAACGATATTCTTCCAGGTATTTCCTCAGAGCACTTTGTTCTCTCTTTTGTTTGACACAAATGATATATTTTGTAAAGTTGCCTATTACAGCAATGCATGTAAATACAATGGTACTGTGCTCTTCACACTGAATTTTCTTGGTCTGGAAAGCAAATGTCACTGTTCTGAAATATGATCCTCGGCATTGATTTTGCTGATGGTGATGCCTCATGAAGATTTGTACAGATGAGGGCAGCAGAAATGAAGCTTGCATAGAGAATGTTGCACCAACATTTCAAATACTTCAGTGCAACCAGTAGATTTGGAATAAGCAGGTAACTAATAGGATTTGTTTAAAAGAATTTTTGTGGATAATGTCATTACATCATTTAGTCATTAGATAGTAATGGCTTTAACTTTATCTGGGAAGAATCTAGAGTTTCCTGAAATGCCTCGTTTCTTGACTGTATGTTTTCTAAGCCTTTTAATCACAGTTTTTCATAGGGCATAAAGTTTCAGTGCAAATTTCAGCCATGGATCTGCTCAATGTGTAAAAATCATCAATGACACACATTCCAATATCTCTAAGTGTAGTATTTTTAAAAAAATAGTTTTTGGTTAAAAACAAAACATTTAGGAATGGCACCATAATTAGAGTATGCTGTGATGGAGGAAACCCTGTCCATGGTAATTCACCAGCTGGCATAACATCTTCTTTCAATCTGGGTAGAAAAACACACACATGCCAAAACCAAAATAAAACAATTCATCTTCTGCCTACTAAAATACTAGAAAGTGGTAGGATATAGGAGAAGAGTAGCAGAACCTAGGGGTGGCATTAAAAGAAGGATCAGCAAACTAAGTCCAACCCCTCCTTGAATTCTGTTGACCCTTATTTAACTCAAAGCAGGTCTAAACAGTTGAGGAGATCCTTGTGCATAGGCATGATTAGCAATAAATCAGTTGAAATCGACTTTCATGTCTTGACCTGATCTTTCGTGCCTGATATAGGATAACTTTTGTTACATTGTAGTACGTGCTCAACCCCTGTGCTCCATATAAAGTGCTCTGAGTGTTTTGTACTAAAAACTAACTTAAACATATTTACAACTTTAAATGAAGGATTTCCAAATGTTTGCTAGTGGTGCTAGCATAATCTCTTTTGTTGCCTCAACAGCAGATATGAAATATCTCCCCTGCCTTTGGACTATGACATCCTCTGAATAAAAAAGGACCTATCATGATTGCAAATGTCAAATGCAATCTATAAATATAAAAATGCCCATGTTCCCTCTAGTTTATAGGTGTTTTATCATACAGATGTAAATTCTTATATGAATTCATATATTTAACTCAGTTTTGTATTTATTATGTAACTCAGTTAAAGAAACTATAAAATATGGTGAATCAGAAATTTTTTAAAAAGACACGTGGTATAGACTTGACTTTATTCCTGGGATCCACCTTCATGTTACTCCTTGCAATATGACCCAATATATAAAAGCCCAAAGATACACTCTGTAGTTCACTTTTTTCCATGCCTAAATATGAACTTGTGTCCATCTAATATAGTTTGATTATGTTGAATGGGAATTTTGGTAGTTGTAGCCCTAAATAATCAAATGAAAACAAACTGGAGAGACACTGACTTTCAAGAAGAGTGAATCCTTATTTTCACGATAGATAGCATGCCTATTAGGTCAATCAAATATTTATTCTCCTACTCAGAGTATAACAATATTGGATTAAGTAGATTAAAGCCTTGAACAGTCATAGGGTACAGTAGATTAATTGTGTAGGTTGTATAATAAATTTGATCTTTCCCAAAATTCCTGAATTAAAAAAAATGAAACTTGACACAAGTTATATTTTGCTCTTACTTAGTTGAGACTCAGAATTTGAATTGACTATCACTGCCAGGGAACAATTTCTTATTTATCACAATGCATTTTTTCTCAGAATCACATTGGTCAAAATGCAATAGCAAAATTGCTATTAATCTTGCAGGAAACAATTCAGAAATCCCCAAAGAGATCACTAACAGGATACTGGTACTAGAACTAGAAAACTTTTGCATAGTCATGGGCAACATTCGGCCTTTGGATTATGTGCCAATAGGCATATTTTAAAAAGTCCTGTCTCCAAGACAAAGAAATAGATCAAGGTTAGGCCAAAAGTTAAATTAAATGAAATTAAAATTTAATTATGAGTAAAATGATTACTTCCAATGCATTTAATCATTTTCCTTTCTATCATATTATAACTGGGCAATAATTTTTGGAAGAGCTCTGTACTTTACATCAGTGCTATTAGCAGTCTTATGTAGTCTTGGACCAACAACTTTAAAAGAGGAAAAACATAATGAAACATGAATCTCCTGTCTACTGGTTAAAAATGCCCAGTTGATGGACTAATGGATTTGAAGTACTAAGATCTAGATTAATACTCTCAGCCATGACATGTTATTCACTGTATGGCCCTGGATAATCAAAATAAACCATGTCTATGCTATAGAGTTTTAATAAGGGCAATGTAGCTTCATTTTACTTTGGTTGCCATGAACTTTGGGAAGGAAGATGTATAGTAAATAATTATAAACAAAATGGGGAAATAAAATGTTAATGTATGCAAGTCTATACATAATCAGTTTTATGTCACTTTCACACAAGATTCTATGTGGCTTACAATTATAAAAGTGTGAAAACAATAATTAATTCAAAATATACCTTAAAATATGATCAATCCAAAGGCCTTGTGGGAAAGTACATTTTAAATAGACTTCCTAAATATTAGCAGGGTGGGAATCATTCTGACCTTGAGAAACAAACTGTTGTAGAATGAAGGGATTGCTCCTGGCTAGACTATCCTCCATGCCCTGGACTCATGATCTCTCAGGTTGGGTGGGCAGATTCAACATACAGTGGTACCTTGGTACTTATCATTAATTGGTTCCAGGAGCTCAACGAGTACCAAAAACAATGAGTACCAAACAGATTTTTCCCATAAAGAATACAATAATGTAGTGAGTCACAAGGCAGCCGACACCAACAAGATCTAGCTTGTGAGTTGAATATCAAACATACTCGAGTACCAGGATAAATTTTTTGATTAAAATGCATTGAGTACCAAATCTGATGAGTTTCAAAGAAGTTGGATATCAAGGTATCACTGTACTGCAAATCATTCCAAAAATAATGATGACTCAAGCTATAAAATATTTAATAATTAACAACTACAGCATAGACAATGCTTTTAAATAAGTTGACACAAATCAGCAGGTGGATAGTCACATTCTGTGCCAATTGTAGATTCCAGATCATCTTCAAGAGGAGCCTTAGGTAAACTGCAGTAATCAATTAAGAGATGACAAGGACATCAGTCACCGTTTACAGAATCTGTGAACTATATCTTTCACAGAAATCCCAAGAGAGCATGGCATTACTGAATTGTTTCTGTCAACTATTAAACTATACCAATGATTTACTCCCCAGATCTTACATACAGTACATATATACATATATGTATATACACAAATGCCTCAACAATATTTTCATTAAGATAAATGAAGCATTCTTAACAATCATTCGATAACATTTGTAGAAGTCATGTTAACTGTAGTATATTCAGTTATTATTTTTATTTACAACTTGCATTGTAATTTTTTGGTAAAAATGTTTTATACTGTAATCATATATGTGTAATATAAATAAGAATAAAATATTGTTTTATACATATGTACAGTTATTTTCTTGAGCACACCTGTGCTCAGTATAAAGTGATTTGGATGTTTTGTAGGAAAAATTAACTTAAATGTATTTACAAGTTTAAATGAAGCATTTCCAAATGTTTGCTAGTGGTGCTAGGAAAATCTCTTTGGTTGCTTCAACAGCAGATGAGAAGTATCTCCCCTGCATTTGGACTATGACATCCTCTGAATAAGAAAGGACCCATCATGATTTCAAGCCCTTAAACTGCAGCATAAGGCAAAAGATTCAGAAGCCTCCTGAAGGAAGACCCAAGAGACCCTTCAGCAGAATCTCCATATTCCTTTCCTTTTAAAAGCATGAGGTTGAAAAATGAAGTGTAGGCTCATCAACAGTTTAGACTCTTTAGGCACTGGAGCTAATCAAAATAAAGTCCTTGTTATCTAATATAAATCTTCTCTGCATAGAAGAAAGCATTAGATTATTGCTGTAACAGAACAAAGCTCAACCCAATTTATTTGCTGCTCTCCAAGGTCCTGGGGAGTGGATTTTGCCATTTCTCTCGTCTGTAGATTCTGCCCTAACTTTTCCTGCAGCTTTAATTACTCCCTCAAGGATCATGGAACGAGATTTATATTTTATATTTAGTAATCAAAGACAAAACTGGGTAAAATAAGACATCTTACACATTCCATAGCCAATAAAGGTAGCAGGGAAGGTAGCCAGTTGGATTACTTTGGTGTCTCTCTCAGCCCAACCCACCTCAAAGGTTTGTTGTTGTGGGGAAAATAGAAGGAAGAAGGTGTTTTGGATACATTTGCCACCTTCAGTTATTTGTAAAAATAATAAAGGTGGGATATAAATAAATAAATAAAATGTTGTGGATGCGACCAGCTAAAGAATTCTGACTGGCAGAGCCTAGGAAGGAAGCTTTCTGTATCATTTCAATTATCATGTAATGGTCCACATGATGGAAACTACTGAGAATTAACTTATTCGCTTGTTAAAATTAATCCTGATCTGTAGGGCCTCAGACTTTGCTTTTTTCTGTGTCACAGTTCTCTTGGCATCTGAAGATTGCTACTGTATAAGGCCTCCAGTTCAATTAATATGCATAGTTAATGACATTTTTTCCTTATTAGATCTGATTTCTATACCATTAAAGAAATTACATACCTCTGAAGCTGGGAAATCAATATTAAATTTCAGAAGGAATAAAAATACTAGTCATGATGAGTAATGTAATTCAGTTAAAATATATAATATTAAAAGATCTTTATTTTAATGATATAATTGGCAAATTATTGTTTTCTTTAACAAAAGTCAGAGATTGCTTTAAACTCACACACTGTCAAATATTTAAAGCCCAACAAATATGTAGGTTGTATATACATACATACATACATACATACATACATACATACATGCAATATACAAAACATATAGTTAATATATGTTAATATAGTGTGGAGATGTGGTTGTCTGGATGCTACCTATTATCATATTTGGTGGTCGTGTAAAAATATAAAAGCTTTTTGGATTAAGATATGGTGGAATATTCAAAGAATCTTTAGAAGGAGGGTAAAATTTACTCCGCAATTATTTTTATTAGGTATTGTTACGGATTGTGATGCTAAGGAAGTTATATTGATGTTAAATTTGATCACAGCCGCAAGGCTGTTAGTAGGACAATATTGGAAGAAGGAATCTTTGCCTACCTTACAAGAGTGGTTTTATAAAGTTTCTTATTTGGCGGAAATGGCAAAGATTTCGGCTTTCTTAAAGGAGCAATCTCAAGAGAAATTTTTTGTTGTATGGGAAAAATGGATAAATTTTATACAATATAATTTGGATATGGAAAAATATCATTTAGCTTTTTTATAAATTGTATAAAATTTTTTTTGGGATATTTTACAGATTGTTTTTTTCTTTTCTTTTTCCGTCCTTTGCTTTCTTCCTTCTTTTTTTATCTTTTTTATTCCTTTTTCTTTTTCTTTCTCACTCGCTTTCCTCTCTTTTTCTTTCTTTTTTTAAGTATTTTTCTTTTTAATGCTTATGTCATATATATTTTATTATTAATTATTTTATAAGTTGTAAAAATTTGTTTAGGTTTTTTAAAATCATAGATAAGCCTGTATTCAGTTCTGGGAAGCTCGGGGAGGGGGGAAGGGGGGTTGGGAGGGATGGGTGAGGGTTGATTGTTTATTTGTAAAACTTTTAAAAACTTTTCAATAAAAAAAAATATAGTGTGTGCTACCTGTTCTAACATATGGCTGTGAAACATGGACACTAGCCTCATAATCTATACAAAAGCTACAAGTGGTGCAAAGAGCCATGGAAAGATACATGTTTGGCATTACAAGACAAGATAGAAAAACCTGCATATGGATTAGAGAACAAACAAAAGTATACAATAACATTAAAAGAGTAAAAGAATTGAAATGAAAACGGTCTGGTCCAATAGCAAGAAGAACTAATGGCAGGTGGACCAAGGCAGTCATAGAATGGAATTCACTTGATAAAAAGCATCCATGAAAGAGACCTAAAACAAGATGGATCAACAACATCAGCAAGCACTGCAGGCCCAATTGGCAAAAGAAAGCTCAGGACCGTATAGGTTGGAAACATGTGGAAGAGTCCTTCATCTTGCAGTGGATAGACAATGGCTAAAATGATGATATGAGGATAGTTAATATACAACTCTCAAAGTGTGAAAGTTGCTTTACTGTAGCAGGACATAAACCTAATAATTAGATGCATATACAAATAAATAGGAAGCTGATCCCTATAAAGAAAAACTGAGATCATATAAGACAATAAATTTTATGAAAACAAATTCTATTGTTAATGAAATATGTCTTTTCCCCTTGCTTTTGAAAACTGAGATGAAACTGAGAAGGCCTTATCCAGGGGCTAGTCGGGTTCTTTTCTCAATTAGCTTTTCACAGAATTTGCTTCCGTAGAATGTATTTTGTAAGAAGCCTCTTTGAACACCTGCAAAAAATGTTGACTGCAGTGTAGTTCTTTCCGTCTTTCCTTCTGCTCATTCTGAATTGATCCTAACAAATTGTGGTAGAATAATAATTTGAACAGGAATGCAAGTTCAGAATTCAGTGAAGATCTAAGCACCACAGCAAGGTGCTTACATCTTCACTGAATTCTGAACTGGCATCCCTGTTCAAATTATTATTTGCCTTAGATCTTCATTTTTTTTAACAAAAGCAGAGTGTTTTTTAAGAGCATTTGTGATCATGATTTTCATACCATTATTTCAGAAATTTAAATGTTTCAGAGGCATCATCCTAAACTGGAAAAATGCTAATTGATGCTCTGGTGTTACAGTTGCTAAGAAACCTGTGCAGTTGCCAGTGATGTGTGGTAAGAAATAGTTTTTTTATTTTTTAGGAACTCTCTTTTAGTCCAGCTGAAACTGGGCAGCAATCTCCCACCAAAGAGCTGTTTTCTTACCAACCACAGGCAGGAATTTTAAAGCATCACCTGGACTAAACACATTTGTTAAGTGAATCACTGTAGCTGTTAAATTAGTAACACAGTTGTTAAGTGAAATCTGGTTTCCCTTTGACTTTGCTTGTCAGAAGGTTATAAAAGATGATCACATGACCCTGGCACATTGCAACCATCATAAATATGAACCAGTTAATAATAATAATAATAATAAAATTGGAAGGGACCTTGGAGGTCATCTAGTCCAACCGCCTGCTCAGGCAGGAATCCCTATACCATTTTGGACAAATGGCTGTCCAGTCTCTTCTTAAAAACTTCCAGTGTTAGAGCATTCACTGCTTCTGAAGGCAGGTTGTTCCACTGATTAATTGTTCTAGCTGTCAGGAAGTTTCTCCTTAGTTCTAGGTTGCTTCTCTCCTTGATTAGTTTCCATCTGTTGCTTCTTGTCCTGCCTTCAGGCGCTTTGGAAAATAGCTTGACTCCTTCTTCTTTGTGGCAGCCTCTGAGATATTGGAACACTGCTATCATGTCCCCCCTCATCCTTCTCTTCGTTAAACTAGACATACCCAATTCCAGCAACCTTTCCTTATATGTTTTAGCCTCCAGTCCCCTAATCATCTTTGTTGCTCTTCTCTGTATTCTTTTTAGAGTCTCAGCATCTTTTTTACATCGTGGTGACCAAAACTGGATGCTGTATTCCAGGTGTGGCCTTACCAAAGCATTGTAAAGTGGTATTAATACTTCACGTGATCTTGATTCTATCCCTGTTAATGCAGCCTAGCACTATGTTGGCTTTTTTGGCAGCTGCAGCACACTGTTGGCTCATATTTAAGTGACTGTCCACCCGGACTTCAAGATCCCTCTCACAGTTACTACTATTGAGCAAGGTACCACCTATACTATACCTGTACATTTGGTTTTTCTTGCCTAAATGTAGAACCTTATTTTTTTCACCATTGAATTTCATTTTGTTAGATAACACCCAGTGTTCAAGTCTGTCCAGATCCTCCTGTATCATAAGTCTGTCTTCTGGAGTGTTGGCTATTCCTGCCAGCTTGGTATCATCTGCAAATTTGATGAGTTCCCCATCTATCCCCTCGTCCAAATCGTTGATGAAAATGTTGAAGAGCACTGGGCCCAGAACAGAGCCCTGGGGCACCTCACCACACACTTCCCTCCATGTAGATGCGGTTCCATTGAGGACCACATGCTGAGTACGGCCGGTCAGCCAGCTTCGAATCCATCTGGTGTTGATGCTGTTTAACCCACATTTTTCTATCTTATCAAGTAGTAGGTTGTGATCTACTTTATCAAATGCCTTACTGAATTCCAAGTAAATTATATTCACAGCATTCCTCTAGTCCACTAATTTTGTCAAGCATGTGACCACGGGATGCTGCAATGGTCATAAGTGTGAAAAATGGTCATAAATAACTTTTTTCAACGCCGTTATAACTTCAAAGGGTCACTAAATGAACTGTTGTAAGTCAAGGACTATCTGTATTCTATATAACTTTAGGAAGAATAGACCTGAAATTACTCTCAAAGCCTGCTTGCTATTTTGG